TATTTACTAGTTCTTTCTTCACATGGGGTGAATTTTTTGGCCTTGACTTCTCATAGGTACAATCATTGGGTTTAGGGTACCATGGTCTGCAAACTATTAATATGAACTAGATTAAGCTATGATGTTATGAACAAGTACCAACTACACCTAGAACAGCTCAATAGTGGACTATTGTTGGTTTTTTTTAATAAAGAGTATCATTGAATCACGAATGAAATAATTAATAATGGTTTTCTCTTTATTTTTTTTGTTGTCTGATGATGTAATAATTTCTATTGTACTTGCACCAATGGATGTTTTCCTTGATTTTTAATTAATCAGTGATTCCATTATGGAACAGATACATACAGAAGCATATTTCAGTTGGGAGACAAAGGATACTGATTTCTGTGTGTTTTGTTATGCAAAATGGTTGGCCAAATCTATTATCTGATTTCCCAACAACTCCCACAAAGATGCTCCAATTGTTATTTCTTTTTTCAATTAACATCTCAGTCTGCCACGCTGCAGTTGAACAGCTAGGCACCTAGCTTCCTTCCACAGGACCAAGTCTCTCAGATTCTTGCTCATACATACTGTATGTACACCTACTTTATACATAAATTTTTATAAATAACATCGAATTATTTATATCTATATAAATTAAAGAAAAAACATTTTTAATTTATAAGATTCAAATTTAAAATTTTATTTAAAGAAAATTTAGTTACCATGCATTGTATTTAAAAACATTAGTTTATATGAGGAAAGATAAAAATACAAAATTAAGAATTTTTTATTCGTTAATAATACTTTTATCATTTTCAACGCTACTCGAATGTTTCTAAATGTGAGGCAGATGGTAAAAAGACAATGAATCGTGCACACAACAATTGTCGTGGAGAAAACCAAAAGGTTCACAGAAGAAATCGCGTGCTTATCTCAGTTGCCGCAGAACACGCTTCTCTCTGGACTCGTCTCGGTGCCTTTTGCAGCATGGTTTCTCAATGATTCACCCTTGCCAAAGGATATTCAGTATTCAATCAGTAAAGCCGTATTTTGAGGTTAATGGTCAAGAGTAATCATGGACTCATGGTACCAAACAGCAATTAGCTTGGAATATTTTTTGTTTGATAAATGGATGACATTAGGACATGATTAGATTACATTAATACTAGCGCCATGGTGGAAATGGTGGGGGCAAAGGGCTACCATTGTGCACCAAATGGGATTTGTGAAAAAGCACATTGGGAGGCACAATTTGGCACAGGATTTTCCCCATACTTGTTTCGCCCCTGTTTTGCACGACGTCCCTTTGGCTCTTGCACTTTTCCTTTTGCTAACTTTCGGAATCTGGATCCCCACCCAATCTGCGTATGATTGTTCCTTCCACCCTCTTTTCCCTTGCACAAGCTATAGTGCTGTACAATATACGTAACAAGATCTATTCTTAGCTACCTACTCCACCACACTCTGGCTTTACCCAGTTTCATTACCAAACCAATTAACTTGGATATCCACACGGTACTGTCATGTGAAGGATGTCCTCCTTCCCCAGCTAAACGAGTACTTGGTGGGACAGGTGGTCCATTGACCACTTGGGCTAATCAGAGCCCTTTTCCCTTCAAAAAAATAAAAAATAAAAATAAAAAAGGGGGATAATCAGAGCCCACATGAAGATATTGAAGGGTCAACCATCAGTGAGGTAGAAATTTATGTGATATAAATAATGGTGAGCAAACTCCATCAAGTGATTTGATGGGTCGTGCGCTTTATTGAGAGAGGTGGAATGTTCATTAAATTTAAAAATTGAATCTCCAATTACTAACAACTAATAAAACTAACTTACTAATTATTGTCTTTATCAAAAAACCGCTTGATGGGCCGTGCGCTTCATTGAAAGAGGTGAAATATTCATTAAATTTGAGAATCGAATCTCCAATTACTAATAACTAATAAAACTAACTTACTAACCATTGCCTTTATTAAAAAAATAAATAATAATGAGCAAACCGTACAGAAGTGGTGAGTAACAAGAGACTTAAATCCAAAAGTGAAGGCAAGGGCGGTAAATGTGATTGATCCTCAACCTTTATATTCATTTGCAAAATTCCTTTCTTTTGCACCAATTTCCTTCCCAATTCTGTAGGCACAAAAAATACATTTTTTTTAACTGCACTAGGCATAAAATATTGTAAACTTTATAAGGAAAAAAAGGGTAAAATTTCATAAACTCTACACCGTGCATGATAGAACCTTTTTATAGGTCAAAACATGGATTAATTTTTTAACTTAAATAATTCACATAATATTTTTAAAATAAAAATTAAGCTAGATAAGTTGTTTTCAGGTCAAATTGTGAAGGTTTATTTTTACACTACAGAGATTCAGTAGCATTTTGCATCAACAATCTCTCTTATGTTTTTTCTTTAACAAAATCATTAGACATAAACAATTGTATTATAAAGTTACGTAGAAGATTAAGGACCCAATTGCTTGACTTTAAAGGTTCAGTGCTACTTTACAATTTGTACCAAAGGTTAACAACTTAAGACTGATATTTACCCCTAAAAAATATTATAATAAATGCAAGTAGTGTAATAATAAACAAAAGACCCCACTCACACCTTCCTCTGTTCCTCACAGTCCCTCCTTATTACCCATCTCGGTTTCCTCTCCCCAGTTGCACACTCATCTCTTTCAAAAGCTCTCTCCTTTTTTAAAGAAAGAGGTAAATTAATTAAATATCTGTAATGGCGCTTCTCGCTTTCTTACCGGAAGCCAAGGAGGTTAAGACAACGCCGTCGTCCAAGCGGAGGAAGAAGCAGAAACAGAAGCAGAAGGAGCCGTCGTCTTGGGACCAAGTCAAAAACTTACTCAGTTGCAAACAGATCGAAGGCTCCAGAGTTCACGACCCGTCCAAGAATGCTCCGCAGCATCATAGCTACTCCAAGCTCAGCTCCTCTTGCAGTTCCATATGCAGTTTCAGGGACGTCGTTCATGGAAACACGAGGGTTGTTCACAGAGCTGATAACTCGCCGGAGAGTAGCTCTCTGGGTCAAGAAAATGGGTTGCTGATCCGTAAGGCTGTGTCTGGGTCGTCGTCATCTCGGTCTCTATCTTCGAGATCCACCGGTGGCGGTGGTTCAAACTATACGTCTTCTAGAGCTATGCAATTCCGGAAGCTTTCTGGGTGTTATGAATGTCACATGATCGTTGACCCAAGCAGGTAATTACCATAGCACTTTGATTTGCCCCTTTTTTTTTTAATTAAATTATATCAAAGATAGAAATATTGAATTACTGGAGCTGAAAATTTATTCATCCAGGTATCCAATTCCAAGAACTACCGTTAGCGTATGTTCACAGTGTGGAGAGGTATTTCCAAAGATTGAAAGCTTGGAGCTTCACCAAGCTGTTCGCCATGCAGGTACACGTTTTGTTTTCCCATTAGTGGTAGATTTTTCTTTAATGGTGAAAATATCTCTAAATTAATTTACACCCAATTTAAAACTAATTTTTCATGATCTAAACAAAACCATTTATACCGAAACTAGCATTGGTGGTAGATTATAAAATACCTAATTTACCTCTTAATCTGGACCTGTATTGTAGTACGGACTGCATGTTGATGGTGGCTAAAGTAATGTTCAATATATGACAATTAATCAAACTTTTTTTTTTTTCATTTACTCATATCTTACCTCTTGAAATATAGGGTAATTTTTTCTCACCACTTTATATAATTATATAATAGGAATTACATTTAGAATCTTTTAATGTTGTTAACCGAAGATTATTACAGTACTATATCACTTAATAAATCAATTTTTTAAGAAAAATAATTTATGAATAATTTATTATTATTTTATATAATTTTATATATTATTTAAATAATTAA